GGTGTCCCCAAGCTGCTGACCCCCATCTCTGTCCCCGCGTGTGTCCCCGAGGGGCCACAGCCCCGTGGCTCCGCGGCAGCGCCGGACACCTGGGCATGACGCTGGTGGGCTCCGAGGACGGCGGGTTCGTGGTGAGCGGAGCAGCCGCGCGGCGTGGGGGGGGATGTCACCCGCGGCCGTGTCACACACCCCCCCCCCGTGTCACACCCCCCTGCCAGGCGTGTGCCCCTCTGTGGTCCCAGGAATGTGGCACCTCCGTGTTCAGCTCCGGCCGCTGCGTCCGCCTGGACGAGGAGCTCCGGCTCGTGGGGACCGTGGCGCCCACGGAGCAGCGTGAGTGGGGCGGGGAGGGGGGGAAACCGTGCTGGGATAGACTGGGAGGTGCCACCCCCCAACCCTGTCACTGTGTCCCCTTCCAGGCTGCTCCACCTACATGGACATCGTCCTGGTCCTGGACGGCTCCAACAGCATCTACCCCTGGGAGGAGGTGCAGGAATTCCTCGGGAACATCCTGGGGCGCTTCTTCATCGGCCCCGGGCAGACCCAGGTCAGGGGGTGGCACCGGGGCCACCGTGGCTGTCCCCAAGGCGGGGACAGTGTCCCCAAGGGCTATAAGGGCACTGTTATGCCCGGGGCAAGGTGATTGTCCCCAGGCCCGTGCTTGTTGTACTACCCTCGGGGTGATGCCACCCTGGGGTGACACCATTGTCCCCAGGGTGACGTCACCCCTGTGGAGGGGGGCCAAGGGTGCCCTTTGCCAGGGATCAGGGGGTCCTATGGGGTTTGGGGAGTCCCTGTGGATTTGGGGGGTCCTATGGGATTTGGGGCAGGGTCCCCTGTGGATTTGGGGGTCCCGCTGGCTCTGACCCCCCCTGTTTCAGGTGGGGGTGCTGCAGTACGGGGAGCAGGTGGTGCAGGAGTGGGCGCTGGGGCAGCACCCCACGGCCCAGAGCCTGCTGGAGGCCGCCAGGAACCTGACCCGGCAGGAGGGGAGGGAGACGCGCACGGCCATGGCCATCCGGCAGGCATGGTGGGCTCCGGGGGGAATGGGGGACTGGGGGGATTGGGGGCAGCAGTGAGGTTGGGGGCAGGGTTGGGATTGGGGTCAGGATTGGG